CGGCGGGGTTTCGGCCGAAATAATCTCCCGCGTCGGAAAACACCGAACGCGCTGCGAAAAAAAAAAGAAAAAAATAAACAAACAAACAAAAAAGCGAAAATAAACCGTGAGGGGGGGGGGCGGAATCGGTGTGCGCTACGGGCGTCGCGGCACGGCGATAGGGCGAAGTCGCGCGTGCCGACGTCGTTTCAACCGACCCTCGTTTCCACCCTCGCGGTCTAATTGCCCGTCGTTACCGGTACAAACGCGGCCGAACGCCGGAATTTCCCGCACGCGCGTACACTTCATAACGAAGCGGCGCGTTTCGCCGTACCCCGTGTGCCGCGGCCGTCGCAGCGCGCGTCGTCCGCCTGCACACGTGCGAACGTAACGACGGACGCGCGCGGCCCGTCCGAACGGCAGGTCGTTTACCGAGGCCGAGGGGGTCGTCTCGCGCGCGATGCCTAATGCGCCGTCCCGCGTGTCCCCCGCAGGTCGGTATTCACAGTCGCGCCTTTATACATCCGTGTACGTGAAAACAACGGACGTTTCGTGCGTACACCGCGGCGCGCGGATATCGTCGGCCGACGCGACGGCGACGACGTCGGTTACGGTCAGTGGGGGGGNGGGGGGGGGGGGAGTGGGGCGGCGACTCGAACGCGCGAGCCGGTCGGTTCCGAGGCGCGTACGGTTGCGTGATGGCCGGTGCGGCGATCGCCGAACTGCCGGCGGGAATTCCGCCACCGAAACGCGCGGACAATAGCCGAAATCGGACAATGAAATGCCGTCCGTGTTTAACGCGTCCGAATCGAATTGTTACGCGCGCTGGGCGGCGACCGGAATGCGCGACAGTTCTACGGCGACGTGCCCGCGGTATAACGCGAACCGCGAATAACACGACGGCGCGACCGTCGGGGTCCGGACGGCGGAAAACATTTTCGTCTCCGCCTCGGACGTCCGCTCGTCCCGGACCGGTTGCCGGTCCGTTCGTCGTTTCCCGTGCGCTCCCGTCCCCCCCCCCCCCNCCCCCGTAACTCGGCCTAGCCGACGTACGTTCGCTCGACCTTCCCCCCCGTCGGAGTCGCGGTTTTTTTGCTACGGCCACTCGCCCGTCAAAAACTCTCCGTAGTTCTCCCAGTACTAGTCACGTCCGTTGGATACTTTTGGATACAAAACGTTTTCGGACGTTGTGTTCCGCGTTAGTTCTACTGTCATACTGTTCCCGCGTATCAGGCGCGTGAAGTTGGCGGCATAAAAGTTTGGGAAAAAAATCTCCCGGCAATCTTCCTGCCGTGGACGAAAAATCCGAATTTTCGGAATATAATAAAAAGATCAAGGAAAACTGTTCGGAAATTTTTAACAACCGGTTATTCGACTTTTACATTTTTCGGTGTCAAAGAAACTGGCCGAAAAGGCCGCGAAACGCATCCAACAATATTCACGCGTGTCGGACGGCCGGTCCTTGGTATTATATATTATTACGCTCTACCGTAATTATTTCACAGGTCGGTGATTTTGACTCCTCGTCACCTTCGGTCGCGAAATGTGTGTTGGTAACAATATCATATTTCGAACTGCATTATTATTATACCGACTTTCCGTTACAAATGTAACAACTCGCGCGATATGTTTTAAAATTCGCACTTCTACCGAAACCGTCTGCGTTTTGACTCTAAAAACGGAAAAACGTGGAAAACGCGGAAAACAAAAGTTCGAACCTCGTTCGAAAAGTACATTAGCCTCAGTCACGGGAGCATTACCGTTGCCGCATAAACACGCGCTTTAACCTCAAGCGAAACGCTTTCATACGATTGCTAAATAAATGCGTATATATTATAAATTACTGTTTGTATAATATTATCGTTTTCACACCGTCGCCCCGCCGCCGACAATATCCGTGATTGGGTTCCGCAGCGCAGTGAAAAAACACCGCCGGTTGTGTAGGTGCACACCGCCCGTATGAAAAATTTAATTCAACTATACGTAGGTACCGGTAAAAGCGAATAAATTCGATTATGCAAATGCGCGTTTTACTCGGGCGTATGCGCAAAAACAAAATAATAATAATAAAAAAAAAAAAAAAAATATATATATATATAAATGAATGTCACGATATAGTCGAATTTTAAACGAGCACTAAATTTAAACCTCTCACCTATTTATAAATACGTGTACGCATAGTAAGTACCTAACCTAACCGCAGTCCCATGCACCCGTCATTGTAATTTATTATGCATAATTTTGGTACTTCGCTTAAATTTTAAATTTTTTTATATTTTTATCCGTAGATGAGTGTGCGCTTCGCGGTTCCGATATTTTTTAAAACGCCAATGTACAATAAATAATAAATCATGTATAAAACCGATTAAACCAAAATTAAAAAAGGAAACGCAAAAAAAAAAAAAAATAATAATAAAAATACGGACATACTTCGCACAATGGGTGGGCCAATGTTATAGGTAGGTAGTTGGGAAGTTAGGATACATAATGTTATTCAATGTATACCTGTTAGCAACAATAAACCATTGTTAATGAAAAACGATTAGGTTAAGGAATTATTTACAAAAACAATGTGCATTTTCATGACAACAATGATTGTCTAAAAATGATTCAACAATTAAAATAATAAAAACTTTATAATAACAAAAATAAATAAATACGGCTGCCAATGGAAACCTTATTTTTAATCTTTTTAAATCTAAAGAACCGGTGTTCCTCATTATTTCTAATATTAAGTAGAATTTTAAAAAATGACCTTAGGGGAAACCAGAATCAAAATACAACAAAAACGATCTCTTTTCATGTTTTGATTGGAGCAAAATTTCTAAGAGGAAAGTTGTTTACAGACAAAAAAAAATACACATCATAGAAAACCAGTATAGATCCCTTGGCTTCACTCAAAATCTAAAAATGTACTTCAAGACTAAATTGTCTTTATATCTGTACGTTACACTACCATTAACGGTTCATTTATACAACAGCATTGAGTCGACGATAATTTTAAATTCATCAAAACTAATAATTCCATTGATTTTTTAAATCTGAGAAAAATACATTGGTTTTACTACGCGTTTTAATTTTTTCGTGTCTATAAACAACTTCTCTACTAGAGGTCTTGTTCAATCAAAAACTTTACCGAAACATTCATGTAGTATTATTTATTTAGTTGATGCATTGAGGTAATTTGTTTGATTCGGTTAGTAATTTTCGTAATGAATCGAAAAAATTGGGAATTTTTGTCGACTTCTGGGTTATCTTGGCGACAAGGGAAAAAATACGATTAATAATTCGCCGCTCAAAATCGTTCCACATTAGCAATGGTTTATCGTCACGTACAGATATCGATTGAAATTTATTTCTCAATATATATACACAATATTATTCGCTCCTCCAACTTCCATCTTAAAACATTGGTACTCTTTTTATTGATTTCACGATTCACATTTGTTAGATACACATCAGACACGAAAAAAAACGTGTGAACAAGTTTTTCGAAATCGGTAAATTCGCCTTATTCGGAGTCGTCAAATTGTTGATCACGCTCCTACGTCAGCCGTGAAATAAATTAGAAGACGTACGCTAAAATATTTATTATTATTTATTTATTTCTTTTTTTTTTTAAGAAGAGGCACGTTCCGTTCCCCACGCCTCCCCATCGCTCCTTCCTCCGAATTCAAGCACTGATCGCGCGCTACGCATCGGGATCGCGGACACAAATTACTGTTGTTCAGTATATATACGAGTATACATAATAATGTAATAATATTATACCGGTTTTTTTTTTTTTTTATTTCTTTCGGTCAACACCGGTAGTCGAGAATAATAATAATAAAAAGCGCCGAATTCACCGCGGATAAAACACATTTATATAACACACACGTAATACGCCTAATAATAATAATAATAATAATAATAATAATAATAATAATAATAATAAATTATACTCCCGTGGTGACGAGTATACGAGCAGTATATACAGAGTCGGTCGGAAACGTGTCGTAAAAAAAAAAAAAAAAATATAATAATGGTAATAATCGAATTTTTTTGTCTTCTTCAAATTACTATTAATTTTTTTACCCACTGTGTCGACGGCGGCGCGGCGGGCGCGACAAAAAAATTCTGATGTTTCCGATTTTTTTTTTTTTTTTTTGACAGCCAGCCGACCCGCATTTACACACACACACACACAATGCGTTTCTGATTGTATATTATGTATAAATTGTATTATTGTGCGTATGTGTACGGTACCTACCTATACGATTATTTATTCCAGACGACAATATAATGCCGGTACCTGCGTCTGCTGTGCCAGCATGCCGTCGACCGAATCGAGGAAAAAAAAAAAGAGAGGAAAAAAGGGTCACCACCTCGTTCGCTCGCACACGCGGTCGGATTACGTTTTGTTTGTTCTCCGGTCTATTTTTTTTTTCTATACACACGCGCCTAGAACTCACACGTATCCACGCGCGTGAAAAAAAAATGTAGGCATACGACGATAATGTTATAGCTCCCTCGCGATTGAGCCCGGAAAAAAATGGCGGATAATGTCACTGATGGGTGTGCCGCTGTTTCAGTAGAGAATCCGGAGTCGGGGGGGAGGGCACAGATAGTAATTTGATTTATATCCGTACGCAACGATAAACCGTCGCTAATGGAAAACGATTCTGAGCCGAGAACTGTCGGTCGTATTTTTTCTCTTGTTGCCGAGGTATAACCCGGAAATCAACAAAAATCGTACACAAACAATTTCCAGTTTACCCTTTGTAACTACAAAGAAAATCAAAGAACAATAAAAATAACCTCTCTCCAATACGTTAATTGTCGGATCAAAAATGCTACGACAAAGTTCCTATAAAGTTTTTGACTTGAGTACGGTTTTTGGTAGAGATGCGGTTTACTGCACAAACACATAAAAAAAAAAAAATAATAAATAAAAACAACCTAGTCAGACCAATATTATATTCCTCCCTTCCAAGTCAGCCAAATGGACTTCCGTGGAAAAAAAAAATATTCAACCTTAAAAAAAAACCAGCAGCCAAATCGAGTAAACTATTATCACGTACTCGAGAAGTCGTTTAGTCGGAGATTTATTTTAATACATTTAAATGACGCCCTTACTGCGTAAAAATAAGAAATTGTCGAAACATCAAGTTAGAAATATATATAGTGAATCGATCGCGTCATGCACGCTGATTGGTTTACCCGTTATCTATTATCGACGGACCGTCGTATTATATTATACTAAATTGAATAATATCATCATAATTGTAATTCTGTGCAACTGATATACTATAATAATTAATAATTATTATCATTAAAACTACAAAGTGTTTCGGAACAAAATAAATTCGTTGCTCGTAAAATCCAATAGATTATGTCCGATTACAACGACAGTCCATTCAATAGTGATAAGCTGAGTTCGTAGGGTTTCTTCATCAGTGGCGTACTTACGGGACACCTTTCCTAGAGGCACGCGACTTTTGCGATATTAGTGGGCTTGGTACGATTTAGTTAGACTCAGCCGTCTAAATTGTGTTAATACACTTCCAACCCTCCCCCCACCCCCATTAAACAAATCATAAATTACACCACTGTTATACAAATAGTGTTCAGCTGGTCCCACCACCGTGAGTTCTACGTGATCGACAAATGTTTTTTTTTTTCGATTTCATGAAAGTAATACAAATTACAATATTATGGTCTACTCTTCATCAATCATCGATAAGACACTTATTCTCCCTCGGATTTCGAAACGCATCAACCTTTTCGGAAATTTTTTCTGGTCAATTTAAGAAACAAGCTGTTCTAAAACGTTACATTGCCGTTATTTTTTGTCACTGTTAATTTTTTAGGGGGGGAGGGGATGAAACCGTTATATCTACTTTTAATTTTCAAATAGCAATCTACATTAAACGTTTCTTAAACAGATGACGTTTTAGTTTAAATACATTTTGGTCTTGACGTTTTTAATTTTCGTCAACTCGTTGACTATACAGAGCCCGCAATCCCATACAAACCATGCTCCACTATTCTCAGCCAACCCAACCGTCTTAGAATATCTCGTCAACGGGTTCACGGAAATTTAAAATGTCAACACCGAAATGTATTTAAACTGAAACTCCGTCCATTTATCAAATTTTCAATATAGCTGGCTGCTATTTGAAAATCAAAAGTCTTTATGATTTCACCCTCGGAAAATAAGAGTAACAAAAAATAACGATAACACAACAGATTAGTTTCCTTTTTCTATACATTTTCCAAAGAGAAAAAAACCCGAAAAAATTCGAAACATTCTATGTATGATATTTTCTATACTAGTTCGAACTACGATTCGTCTTTAAGTATACGTATTACGCCTCGGGGACAATCTGTGTAATAATAATATTTATTGTATTGTACGTGCAGACACTCCCGGAACAAAGTAATGTTTACTTGTTCCGGGAGCGCCTATTCATAAGCTAAATAATTTAGTTTACGGGGTCGACTTCCGAAACGAGAAATATTTGTTTTCTTTAGACAACGTTCGCCGACGAATCGCGTACATATACACGTATACACTATATCATATTTATACACATCTTATAATAATAACAATCATCTTCAAAATGTATGATTATTATTCATCTATATTTATAAAAATGGATATCAATTTGTCCGACCTTAATAGATTCAAAAACTACCGGAGCGATTCAAAACACGGTTTTTCGCAAAACGTTCCGCGTTGTCAGGACAGGATTTATAGCTTTTGATGAAATCCACCCCTTATTGAAAACAACCCTTCAAAATTCGGGTTTAACGTATTTTTGATACGAAAATGCAATTATGTTTGTTGATTTATGGATTATCATGGTAAACAAGAATGAGAAAAAACTGTTATTAATTATTGTAGTGCAATCTCTGTGCTGTGCTATGGTAATAATAGTGAAATTACGTAAAACATCATCGACGTATATTTCAATCCATGTATTGTTTTTCCATTGTTACACTAATAATGCTTCAGTAACATTGGCAAACACTGAAAGTTATTTAAAACGCCACCCGAAAAATCAAACTTCCGAAGATCAAGTAGACATGTAAGACAACTTCTCATGTTAGAGCTGCTCAAACATGTGAAAATCGAGACACATGATGTAAAGATAATCGGATCAGAGCCTATACTAAACGGCTTTCAATTACGATAAAGACTACGATTGTAAAATGAATCGTGACGTTATCATTGGTCCACTGTCTAATTTGTGCTTTTATTGTACTAGTGCTTTGGAGTTTCAAAAAGAAACGCTGTCATGTGTTGCTCCAATGGAAAAGTCGGTGTACCACCACTAAGCCATATGTGACTGGAAATAACTGGACACTTTCTAGGGCATATTCGGAAGTGCAACTCATATGAGTGTAACAACAGATCGGACAGATAATTATTACTGAACTATCACGAACATTGTTCCACGAGCAGAACTGTTTGGTCCGAGATTTCAAATCCCCATTAGAAAATGTAAGAACGGATGACTCGAATGTCATTATCGGGGCAGACGAAACGCCGATTAACGGGCATGCAATGCACTTCAACGCTCCAACGGCCCCTGAAGTAGCGGCTGTTATTCGTATAAGCGGTCGAGATCAAATCAAGCCACTCGTTTCTAAAGCACACCGAATAACGTACGATGCACTTCGACCCGCTCTCCGTCCAATTTTTTTATTTTTTTATTTTTTAATAGTGAAACGGACAGGACAATATAATAATACGTAATTATCAAGCAACGGCAATATTGCTATAATAACTAGCTATTGCAAAACACTGCCGGGTCAGCTAGTTACAATAATAAAAAACATTGTCAATATTCACGATTATTATTGTGTAATATACCAAATCTAGTCATTCTTGTTATTGTCCTCTCTACCGACCTTTCTATTTTAATCGTCCCTTTATTCCCCTGTAACAATCGCCATTATTATTATCATTGTAAGAACCATCATCAGTATTTATGATTATTATATGATACAGTCTATATTATACGGTTGGCGGCAGCCCGTAGAGCCGTATAGTGATATAGAATATTATTGTAACGTTTCGCCTTTGAGGCCGGGAATAGCGTGTTTACGCGCTGAAGGAAATAATTATTATTGTCAAATGGTGGCGTCTCTGGTTGTTAAATAAACGGTATAATACATATTATAGGTATGCGAGGATTTTTTTTTTTTTTTTTGTGGCTTTTAAAAATATCGCACGTCACGATAATGCGTAAAAGTTGTTTTCCCCCTATTTCTGTATACACGCATATAACGTGTGATACGATTGACGCAGTTCAACACCTGCAGTGTTTGAAGGAAAGATTGAACCATCTGAATGGTTTTTTCGGAATAATATCGTGTCCTGATTTAGGTAAAATACGCGAGTATTTAGTTGATATTTAAATACTTTTAAAATATATTCCGATTGCATTTTACGAGATTATAATTAATGCATTGATGCAATCAATTTGATTTTTCAATCCGTCGAACAAAATTACATAATGTATCATATGAGGTGTCGGAATTAGATTTTTATTTTGTATAAATGCTTATTTTTTAGACAGCGTTCTATTAAAATTATATCGATGTCTGTAATCAGGGGAGGGGGTTTGTTCCAGACTATAGGCCTGCGTGATAGTCGATTGTACTCGATTAATCGATATTGACGAATCTATCGACTATTTTAAGACAATCATATTACAGTGAAATGACGGTGAGATAACAGTGATTGGCAGTAAAATGTTCATAATGTTGTAATAACCGCGTTGTGAATAGAATCGATTATCGATACTATATATCGGCATACCCGATTAATCGATAGTACGGCCGATACTATCGATAAACCGATTCATTTTTTCTAAACTATGATACTCACGGGCGTTCATTAGACATGGGAGAGGGATGATTGAAAAATATTACGGCTCTGCCCACAGAATTGTCTTTCTTTTACCCCGGCTGTGCCCCGAGTTATAATTGGTCCGTCCTCCCGTGACAGACGCCGATCACAACGCCGTACGATTTTGTACAGGTCTCGTGCTCTTATATCCGTGTAATATCCGTTTATGTATAGTATTTTATAGCCTTTAAACGCGTGCGGACGGAGACCACGATCTGTTTGTCCCTCGCATGGCAATCGCCTTGCGGGCGCTCATATCGATACTATCCAGCACACCTACTAGCGCAGACCACTTGGACCGTCCCTGTACGTCTGCCTCCCTCGTATACACCCCGCACAATATTTTATTACGTCTCGGAAATAATGACGTCCCATAGTTTTTCCCACTGTGTTATAGGTATAAAATGCCCGCGCGCATCTTTACAATGGTCGTATAACGCCGGCCTGTTCCTATAGATCGTCAGCACATGTGCGCGAAGGCACGCCGCTCATAATACCGCATTATAAAACACGCACTGTAATATATTAAACTCGGTACGTACGTACATAATGTATGTACACACATACACGCATGTTATAATACACTGTACACGGCTGTAATACGGTTAAAAAGCGTTTAACGGGGTCCTGGTGCACCGCACCGCCGGCACGCGCACGCACGTTGTATAAACACGCCGAACAAATGGTACATCACGAAAAAAAAAAAAAAACCCCGTCTGTCCTGTTACACGAAAGAAAGGTCGAAAAAGTTTCGTGCGCGTTGTGTTATTATGATTATATTTATATCGGGCGGTACGGCGGGGACCGCGACGCACGGAACCGTCGCGACCGCCGCCGCAATTGTACGACACGGCCGGCGTGGGAAATAAACGGCTCGCCGTTATTACCACCGGCCGGCCGTTGTATTGACGGACGGACAGCGTTTCGGTTTCGATACGTATGACGTTCGGCTGCCTCGGTAGCTGCGAGAACCGAACCGATCCGTACGAATCCGCGCGCATCCGCGGTAACGATAAAACGAAATCTGCGTCGGGAAAAGAATTTCGCGAGGGAAAATTCGGCCGCGACATTCGAAGCAGCTTAGCCGTTTACCGGTCTGGGAGGCCGAAGTTATGGCCGCCGCACTCGTGTCCGATAACGCGCGGCAAATGGTGACGCGGTTGTAAACCTATGATAACGAGTTAAGAAGAACATTAAACATTGTTTGCGCTTGGCGCTGACAGTACTGGCCGTTATATACGGTTTGGGCGGGGGGGGGAGGGTGTCTAGTCTGTGTACGCGATTACTCGAAAAACACGGGCGTTGTATACGAAACCCGGTCGGTGTTTAAAACGATCGTTTTTCCACTTGAACTGTAACATACCGGCGCGCTCACTACCGTTCGTCCGGTTAAATTTTGCACGCACTCGAATTTTTGATTTTTGAAATTTTTTATCGTAGTTAAACCCGATATTTTCGAATATTTAGATTTTTCACGACATTTACGGAGTGTATTGTGACGGTACCGACACCGGGTTTTCCGGTATTGAAAATTCCGTAAACAAACGGAGTGTTACTTTAAATATACATGTCGGTGTCAAAATATTCGATTTCCGTCGACCCGTCGACAAGATATTTCACTTTCAAATTTAATTAGTTTGGGGGAGGGGGGGGAGAGCGGTGGATTATTATTTGTGTGGCGGCACGGCGCGCGACGTTTTATCATAGCGCAAAATTCAACCGAAAAAATGGGGTGAGCGCGTTTCACGAATCACCCTGTACAGACATGTAACACGTTACCATTATATAATTGAAGCTTGGAATTAATAAATAATACGCATTTGCTCGTTTGCGTGTGTAATATTATGTTAGTACACTACGTACTGTGTCTGCGGGGGTTCAAAATATCGACGGTTCGCATTACTTTATTGCCATTCACGTGTTACCATTGTTCGAATACCGAATTTTACAATTGAATATTTTACATATCCGGAGGATTATTGTAGACCAGTCCGCGATTGCATATAGCGTGCACATTTGATGCATATTCGATAAATTAAAAAATTGAATCCGTGATAATTGGATTTTACCGGTGGAAAACATTTTAAATATTGTTCCGTTCAAATATTGTTATGTTCGCCACACCGTATGAAATCGGAGATGTATTGTAGATAACAACAACACAATAACCGACGTGCCTCGGTGCCATCATTTCGTGAATTCGTTTTACGTTTGTCCGTTTCGTTTCGAAAATGTCTAATGTGAAGGGTGTCTAGGGTGAAAGTCCCAAGTCGAATGTACGAAAAACAAGTTGAAATTTAATTTTTATGTTTAACGTAATATTTAGACATCTAAATAACGTGGCTACATAGCCGGTGATTTTTTTTTTTTTGAACTTCTGTCGTCTCTTGACAATATTGTATTTTTTACGTGCACTAATCCACTAGACGTTTGTTTCAATTTCGATTATATTTGAACTATTCGAATATAGTGGATTTATTCGAATATAGGGAAATAGCCGTTTTCTCCGCGTACGCGTACGCAACGTGTAGTACCTGAAACGCAATAAAAACTATTCGACCGGCCGTAACGCATTTCGCCGAGTGCATACGTGTCACGTTCAAATTTTTCATCTCTCACCGCCGCGGTAAACCCATAACGGACCCCGTGATGAATCGCCGGACATTTCTGTACGGCCAAACAGTACAGCGCGCATCAATCAAACCGGATGGTAACCGGAAAACAAACCGGAAAAATGTCTATAAGTGGCTTGAAATTCGCCGAAATGTTTTGAAAACTTCACCGCGTCTAGTAATGGTCATTATAATTTTTAATCGAACTTCACCAGGCGCCGACAATGAAAATTTGAAATTACGAAATCGTAAACTCCGTACATTTTGAGCGTTTTTTTCCTATATATTAAGAAAACTTATTGAAAGATCAAAAAATAACCTCAATGCACCGAATAGTTCAAAAATTCAACAAAAAAAAAAGCCTTTGGTCGATTTTCCGATCGAAAAAAGATTTTTCGGTAGTAAGCACGTTTACAGACAAACATATACACGTTGTAGCAAATGCAATACATGCCTCTCTCCGCTCGGAATCTAAAAAATATCCGGACGGAAAATAAAAAACGGGAAAAATATCCGCGTTACCTTATAATATTATTTTTTTGTACAAAAGCGTTAAAATGGTATGAAATTTTTTGTTTTTAGCTTTACGAGCCATTAAGATTTTTTTTATTACTACTACAAAACCAGTTTCTTTCATTCGTGTATCTTAAACACGCTAAATGGCTAAATCCATCATACTTCTATTCCAATCCGGTTTCACTTCCATTAGATATTTTTTTTTTTTTTTTAATTGAGTCCGGTCAGATCTATGCGCTTATTTAGCCGTTCTCGTGGTTTTTTCCAGACTATTCGGTTTACCAGTACTGTGCAAGTATCGAACTTTTTACAAACCACTATGTTTTATTTTGTATACGGCGCGATTCCATTTAAAGGTTACACGAAACAGTTCTGGTCGGTGGCCTCGGATTGAAACGGGGTTTTCGAGAAGAGCTAAGGAATAGTGAAATACACACTTCGGGATAACTTTAAAATCGTCAACTTTTTCGGCGTGAACATGCTCAATACAAATAACTTTTTTTTTTTAATACAGTAACGCTTTTTTCCGTAAAAACGAATTCGGATAGCGACTTTGATCGATTTATTTGTTACAACTCGAAAATCACCCGTAACACACCCGCCTGAAATCGGATAAAAATATATTAACGGAGTTTAAGTTGAAATACACATTTTGGCGTAGACGAAATATTCCGCTTTTAACTTTGGGCAGGGGAGAGTAGTGCGGAATTCAATTATATGTGACGGCGTTTGAATAGTGTTTTAATGCTCTCCCCTTACCCGGACTCAAAAGTATAGAACATCTCGTCAACGGGTTGAGGGTAATCGAAAATGTCAACACCGAAGTTTATTTAAGCTAAAACGCCGTCTATTTATTGAATTTGTAATATAGGTTGCTATTTGAAACACAAATGTGAAAAGTGCCCCCGAAATTACGGGTGACAAAAAGTAACGATAACGTAATATTTATAAAGCAGCGTGTTTCTTAAATTTTCCAAACAAATCACTCTATTTACGTCGTTTCAAAGCCATTATTCGACCTTCTCTAAACTGCAGCGCGGGCACAGAATTGTTCGAACACAACCAAACATCGCCTAATCAACATTAACTTTAAATTTTAAGCAATAACCTATTTCGTTCGAAAACAATTGTCGTTAGAGTGCATTTGTTTTTTCTCTAGAAAATATTTTCGGTAGTATTGTATTCTGCACATACTATTACATACATATTTAGCTATTTCGTTTGTTTTTTTTTTTTTTTTTTTCAATAGGAAAACCGTAGATACGAGCGGAAACATACGCTTTAGTTATCCCATAATAATATATTAAATATTCGTAGACGAAACGTCTTGTTTTGTTTACGTTTCGACTTTGAACTTCCGTGAACAGGCTTTGAACTGTAGATTTCAAAAGCCACTTCCGTTATATTGAGAAAAAAAACCACACGCGCGGTGTGCGCGCCGACGAATAATAATAAACGCGCATTTTACTTTGGCCGTGGTAATGCGGTCGAATAAAATATAATAATATTGGCATTTTTGCAGAATGTTTCGGGTTTTCTGAACGTTTCGGGCTTCCGAGCGGGCGGATATTATGGTTTTTGCAACGACGTAACTTTTTCTGCTTAATAAAAACCTCAGAATGCCTGCATACTTACGGTATTAGAAAAATCGACGTTTATTTTTCTCTTTTATCAATGTACTGTAAATAAATGATTAATGACGTTTATTTTTAAAAGGAATAAAAAAAAAAAAATGTTCCAAGGTTATTAAGTAACTTTAAATAGAACTTCGCGGTTCTCGACGAATTAAATAGAACTTTTATATCATAGTATTAGGTTAATACTTTTGAAACGTTAAGAACCAGAGGGTTTAGCAGCGCTATACCAATTTCTATACAGATGTATTGAACCTACAGCCCGGAGCTCTGGTTATCGAGGTAATTATTGGCCCTACGAGTTAATAATAATCGTGAGCTTAAAACATGCTATAGAGAAAATAGAAAAACCATTCCAATAAAAGAATGAAAAAAAAATTGGACATATTTGCACGACGGAAGGTAGGATATAGTAGGGAATTTAATTTATATTTGTACACAACGACGAATCATTGCTAACGAAAAACGATTCGGAGCGAAGGTCGGCTAAATATGTTTTAAAAGGCCGTAATATTTACATGTTCGTTAAAAACCTAATAAATATTACGTAAAAAAAACTCGCGAAATAAAAATGTCTATAAACAGCTCGAAAATGGCTCTAATTTTTTGAAATTAGAAAACGTCTAGAAAAGGCAAACATGAATCGGGTATTTTCCACTGAATTACAACGAAAACAAACGAAATTGAAAACAATATATTTCGTGAGTTTTCCCCGATTCCCCTACGTTTTTCCCCGATCAATACGAAAACCCCTGGGAAAATCAAAAACAACCGCGTTAACGTACCGAGTAGATTTCTGTTAGAACAGTCGCTCGCCGGAAAAAAAAAAATAAACTGACGTTGTAAAACCGATAGATCGCCTGCGCTCCGGATTTAAAACGTACGGGACTTACTGTCGCCGTCTTTATACATATATATTTATATATACGCCATCCAAAGTCGATCCGGTCGAAAACCGTCGGTGTCCGTGGCGTACGAGGTTTCGGCGGTCAGTGGCGATAAGGAATGCGCCGCACGAAACGACATTGTCGTTCGTTTTCGCGTACATCGTCCGATTCGAAATGCGTTTATGTGCGACGGCGGCCGCAACAACTGCCGCGGCCGCGCGGAAACAACAGGCACGCCGCGTCCCGTATAATGTAACGATAATGTGCCCGTAGTATAGTGGTTCGCGACCGGGGGGGGGAGATTTAGATAACGCACGGGAGAATTATATGGTGACGGTGAAATATCGATAATTTCGTTGTTAAAAATAATATTATGTCGTTTTAAAATCGGCACGATTGAAAACGATAAATTAACGTTAGTCGTATGATAATGTGCAATCGCTCGGAGAAAAGAGGGCTGATTTATCGAGGCGGTTATCAAAGAACATCCGATTGGGAAATGATCGTTAGGTAGACCGCGTTTACGGCGGGAGGACCGTGTCAAAACGGATTTTTCAGGCGGCGGACAGCGGGGAGAAGCTGCGGAGAATAGGGAAATACGGCGGCCAATTGGTCTGAAGGCCCGTGACCTACGAAAATAACAAGAGGACTGATACACAGTTGTTCTGTGAAATTTAATTGTACGGCTCACTGAGAAAAAAAAATTCGTCTAAACCATAATAGTCTAATCTAATTTAATAGGAGGAGGATGTGAGTGTTTTTCGAAAATTTACTAGAGGGGCGCAGAATAAAAAAAAAGGTTGGCAACCACTGCTGTTGTGTCGGGACGTCGGGCCCGGTGTGGGCTCGTGTGTACTGCACCCGCCCTATAGTGCACACCCGTGGTATTATAATACCGCGCTGCTCGCGTATTGTATAAAACACGCGCCCAAGTCTAATGCGCGCGTTAATTACGGGATTCTTATCTCGCTGCGTATTACGTCCCCGTGTCCGACATTGTGTATTATCTCGGCCTCCCGAAACGAGGAGTTCGTGTGCGGCTAATGCGTCCGGCCGGTAATAACGACGAAAAAACCGCGCGCGCGAGAGACGATTTCCCGTGTGTGTAAACGCGACGGGGACGGCGGTCGTTTATTATTATCGTTAGTCGGCTGGGCGGACCTGTAGGACGGGGACGAAGGGGGCATTTCTCCCCCCCCCTCCGCGGGTTGTATAATTATACGCGCGCGTTGTTATTTTATTTTTAGCGGTTTTACAATATTATTTTGAAACGATTTTCTTTTCTTTTTTTTTTCTTTTTTTTTCACGAAATAATTAATAACATATTATTATGATGACACGGTCAAATCCGTAGATGCTAAACGATATTCGCCGTCTACGGTCGAACCGGGTCAAGGCGTCTGACGTTGTCGTTTTGTCGGTTCGGCCGTTGTCTCTCATCATCGATTTCTAGTTACGAAACACGACGCGCCAGGATCGGGATCGGGATGCGGGTTTCAGCACCGTTGCCACGAAATACCGTTTTCCAGCGGACGCGATATCATCGAATGATTCTTTTCAATGAAAAACCGCGTTGTATTATAAATTTACAACGCGCGTTATATTATATTATAATTAATCGAATACAATTTTTTTTTTTATTTTTCAGGGAATAAAATGTTACGTCATACGAATATAACAAAAGAGCCCGATTGCCGAAGTCTATCAATACAATATTTGCGTCCGTGACGTTAAAATTGTAAGGAATTTTATATTTTAAGAGCTGGTGAAAACATATTTCGCTCCTCCTCGAGAATGGGCCAGGTACGCCACCGTGCGTACGTAAAATGCGAATACACGTGTATACATTATACGGTATAATGTCTATACCGTATTATTTTTGCAAACCGCCGGGTTTTTCGGTCTCGTTATCCTCGTCCGACGCGACCGAAAAACCATTACGCCCGTAGAATATAATGTCGCAACGAAATATCGTTTCGCGTTGTGCAAATATACGTTTTTACGCTGTTTTTTTTTTTTTTTTAAATCCGGCAATACGAACCGTTTGGGCGTACGCGATTCTCGGGGGGAGGGGGGTGTTTCTATTTCCGTTGCGCTCTTAACGGTCTGTTTTATGTGTACACAATGTCGGCCCGGTACACCTGCAGGGGCCACTGAAACGTTTCGTATTCAGGGGCTCCGTAAATGAGAAATACAAAGACCGCGAAAACCAATACGATTTATTGGGTCGAAAGTCGGTTTATCGATCGATGTTTCTAAAAAGATAACAACGGATTTCGCGGGGATTCGTCGGTTCATAATACGCTCTACGGTATAATACAGCCCATAACCACAAAAGTGATTTACAGCGACATTTCTGTTTTCAGTATGGGTGCAGTGAGCATCGGCATGAGCCGGTATCGAAACATCGGCCGATATTGGCAATATCGAAAAATCGGTCTATCGGTCTGCATTGGAAACGATTCATATCGGCTCACCTCTAGTTTTCAGTGACTTTTTCCATGAACTACGAGGGAAATCATCAAAAAATGAACTGCTGAAATGCACCATCTACATCAGAAATACTACAAGAAATTGTCTGTAACGTTTTTAATTGGAACAAGATTTCTGATTGAGAAATTGTTAGCAAATGTAAAATAAACGCATTATTGTAGTAAAACTAATGCACGCATTTCGCCGCGAACTTAAAAATCTTTATAAAATCATACCTAAAATTGGAAAAACAACAAATAATAAACAAAACGAATGTGTCACGTATGACGTAATGCGGTTACACGTTATCAACGAGATTTAATAATCACTTATAAGGTTTCGAATTGAATGCGTATACAAAATGAACTTACGAAAAGCGTTTAAATTCTTAAAAATCAACTCACGAATCGTTGGAAATTTCCCACCTCCCTCCCGAAAAAAAAAAAATTAAAATGAAATATGTTGTAAATATAATAAACATATTAATTTCTCATATGCGTGTTATGATTTGCGTAATCACTCCGCGTTGCAATAATATAATTTAAAAAAACGATTGTTACCCATTATTTTTAACACGGCGTTGAACTCGTCTAAACTTAAACTTCGTTTTAGATTCTGAACGCAGCGGGGGACGTATTGGCTTTGTATACGATGACGCGTACTCGTCATTCGGTCCGGTTGTCTGCACAATCTTGTTCTTTTGACGAAAATCGTACAAATCGCGGCCTCGGCAAAAAACCTATAACGCGACCGAACTTCGCTGAGCACCGTACGTTTCGTCGTCAACGACGACTCGCATTTGCGTGTACCTAACGTATATAAATCACGGAAAAAAACATTTTTTTTTTTTTTTTTTTTATTTTTTTTTTTATGTTCGTATTTGTCGCAATAGCATTTTTATAATTTAAACGAAAGGTCACCGGCTCGCGGCTGTGTTATAATAGGAAAATATGCTCTAACCCAGGGGTCACCGATTAATATTTACGAAGAGCCGCGTTACTACACATTAGAAATCTGTAAATTTCTTGCGGGCATCGCGAAATTAAAACGTATAATTGTTCGCGCGCATCGCCCCGGTCGACTATAAATAATTATCGTATTCGAACCGTTTTACGACAAATACGATCACGTGGCGATTGTACACTATCGTGTTTCAGAGCTCGGCGGTGAAAAATATTATTGCGTACAACTGCAGCATAATCCCGCATTTTCGTCGTACATAATCGTATACCTATTACACGTACAATATACCTAAAAAAAAAAAAAAAAAATATACGTAGGTAAAATAATATTGTATATTTTGCTGTTACGTGACTTTGATATTATGTTTTATCGATTTCGTCGACATAATTTTAATAATAATATGTTATTTCGTCGCGTGTTTGTAAAATAAATATACAATTTTTTGTTTTGTTTTTTTTTTTTTTTTTACGAACATCGGACCGATACGCCGACGATGTTTCGTCACTTTTGAATTCCGCAAAAACATTGCTGCAATTTGCCGGGGACGGACGAAAAAAAAAAAAAAAGAAAAAGAAAAAAAGGCACACACGCGCATAATCCAATAACGACAGTTGTCGTCGTTTCTTTTTAAAAATACATACGTACCTAAACAAACTTCTTATCTTGTAATTTTTTATTTTGAAAATACTGCGAGCTGTCACCGCCGCCAGTGTATACACGAGAATATTATTATTATTATTGTTGTTGCGTATTTATGTAGATATATAGTTAAACAAATTTGCCGCGGTATTCGCGCACGACGGCCAAATACGACGCCTGGAACGCGTTCCAAAACCGTTTTCGTGTATACGATATGTAATAATGACGTAAAAGGGAACATATAATAGCAAACGTTTTTTATATATATACGTGCATTATACAAACGCGCTATACGTACGAGAGACGACACATTATTTTGTAAATTTAACATTGATTTGTTATTGTCGATGAAATATATCGCAGAAAACAATATTGTCGTGATTTGCCGAGGGAGAAAAAGCGCACTGAAAATGTATTGATATTTTTTTTTTTTTTTTTTTTGGTTTTTATTTTATTATTATTGTTATTTTTTTTTTCTAGTTTCTGAACGTCAAAGCGAAAAACAGCTATTCGGACGTACGCAATACGAGGACAGTGTACTTACAGAAAGCCGCCTGTGCGCTATACTAATGTATCTGTATATTCATCACACTCTTAAAATAGTCTTAAACGTCTTAAAAGCGGAGTTCGGTTTCTACTACACGCATTTCGAACGGCCGTACAATTTTCGAACTGAAAACAATACATTACGTACGTTTTCCCGTTTTTCCCACGTATTACGAAAACCCCCGGGAAAATTAATACCTCCCCGGTGCGCCGACTAGAGACTTTTTTTTTTTTTTTTAATAAAATACGTTACGTTCATATTTCCGATGCGTAATTCAGAATAGCGATTTTTATTTGGAATTCGAATTCGAATTCGACAACAGCGATCGTATCCGATTCTGTTTTTCTTTATAGCGGAGAAATAGGCGGATTTTTTTTTTTATGCATTGTGGTTTCCGACGAACACGATATTTAATAACGTTACGATAATAATAATATTTCGTTACACCACTGACGTCAACGAAAACTCGAGTATAAAAATATAATTTACGAAGTTTTGACGATAATATACGAAAACGGCGCGGCGTAATAATTTAAACGTCAAAACGTATTCGTTTTCCCGACACTTTTAATTTGCCCGGAAACGTTTTTTTTTTTTTTTTTTTTTTTTTTTTTTTTTTTTATTATTATTTTATTTCCTCCCTATCCGGCCGTCATTATAATAATATATTTAAAAATGTATAGCGAGTAAAACGCATCATAATAATATTATAATCTTCTTTCGCGAATACGTTTCAGCCGTTTCGCCGCACCTAACCGAACGTAATAAAATTATAATATTTTGCCCGGTACGTGACCAAAAAAAAATGTATATATTTACATACATATATAAATTCAATTCGTAAGTATACAGGGTGATTCTTTCGTCATGAACCGTTCGGCGATCATCTGTGAACGTGGAAATTCGAATAAAAAAAAAAAAAAAAAAAAATACGTGATTATATTATTAATACGAGTATTGCGTACGATATGATATTAATAGTACGCAGGATTTTATCGATATTTTAACTATCAAACGAGATAACAAATACGTAAAAAAGGGTACGCGGAAAAAAAAAACAGGAAAAGTGACTTTTTTTTTTTCAATCTGAAAAATACAAGTCGTTAATTTCAAAACGTAAAACATTTTTGTCGAATTTCGAGATTATATTATAATTGTGGTGTCTGATATGTTAATATTTTTCGCGGTGCGTTTAATCACTTTTAGCGGCTACATCTTCACCGAACGAGTTCAAACTCGGGAATTAGAGGTTTTTTTTTCAAAGGCTATATTATATGGTTTAAATCACAAAATGTTGGTTGTATTTCAATATAAACCTCACCACCGCGGTGATACGGGAGAGGGGTGTTTTTTAGCTTCATACGCCCCAGCAGACCCTCCAAATGAACCTGTGGGGGGGGGGGGGACATTTTGTATACGCACGGTGTGAGTATCAAGGAAATGCGTTTTGGTGGTTTCGACTTCCAATCACTCTCTCCCCAATCGTTTTTATGCTCAGATTTCGTGTTTTCACAGGCGATTCCGGTTTTAAATTTCCTTGCAATACTCTTGAAATATGGTAGCGGTAACGCGTCAGCTGGAGGACTCTAGTGACGGAGCTCGGCAGCTATTCGAGACTCTTGTGTTTTTTTTTGTTTTTTTTTTTTTTTACAAAATAAAAAGTTTAGATCCGGTTAAACTGTTGCGCTATTGAAATATACAACATAAAATTGTGTTCGGAACGCACAGTATAATAATCGCATTCCATAATATCCGACAAACCGTGTTATCTAAAGTGACTTTTCTGTTTGCACCCTAAAATATCACACAAAGCGTACATATATCTCGTTTAAAAATTAAAATACCGCGAAAAAACCGCCGATCCGGTTGCACGGATAGTGTTCTTAATGTCCTGAAGTCTGTTAATAATATTATTTGATCAATTCGATCTGACGTTAGAACAAACGGCACAAAGAAGATATCACAGCCAAACCCAAATTCGCCGTGTCCGTTATGCAATGAAGACGAAGGCAGCGCACGCGGGTATCACGTCCTCACGGTAACAACGCGCTACACACAATATTATACCTCTCAGTTTTCGATGCATATTAATAAAACTACCATAATTTTTTGCAGAATCGGGGCCGAAAAGGGAATGTTCTGAATGGGTGCCCGGAACTTGATGCGTTTACATAATTTTTATTCTGACGATTCGAGTGAGGCTGATCTTTATACGAATTTGACTTATGTCACGTAGAATTGAATGGTGCGGATTTTATTTTTACATTTTTTCGGTAATTCTTGGTTTTCATGTCCATTTTTTTTTTTTTTTAGTTATTTTTGTGCGTTTTTCCAATTTTTTTATGGATGTGTGCATTATTTTTGTTTAAACATTTCGAGTTTGAACCGCAGTCCTACATAAACATCTTGTGTTAATTACTTAAATTCAACTAAGAAAAAAAAAAAAAATAAAACTAAAATCGGCCGAAACGTTCGCCGGACAGCTAAGATAATATGTTTAACCGATAGATAACAAAGAAAATAATATTGGAATAATATATTGTTGTGTTTATATTTAGCACGGAGACGCGACAACCGTCGGCCAACACTAATTGGTTCACAATATTATCCTATCGCAAACCCGTATTGCTTTGTTTGTGTTTTCATTTAATGATAAGAAAACATTTCCGCAACAAATATTTTATTATATTGCGTATTTTCCTGTAAACTGTTTGTAATTTAACTTCCTCTGATTTTTACAGTTTAAATACATTTTTCAAGTCAATTTTTTAGATCATTTAATGTATTTTTTCCGCGCATTTGTTCATGTTTTATAAGTCATCAAGTTCCGGGCTCTAAATTTACATACTTTCGGTTTGAAAAATTCCGGATACGCGTGCGATCGCAGCACGGATCCCGTCGGATTTGTTTTTATTTCCCGATTGCGTTGCCAAAAGAAAAAAAATAATAATAATAATTGATTATTTTACCGGCTCGACTTTGCCGATATTTAAAACTATACGTATACGTAACACGTATGATAATGTATTTAAATGTAGACGGCGAAAAATGTTTGAAAAAAAAAACCCCCCGCCGCGTGCGTAAGTAATTCGATAGTTTTACCTCGTCTCGAACCCGCCTCGGCGTTTGTTGTTGTCGCGCGGTTTTGCGGTGTTTCGTTATTTTTTTTTTTGTTGTTGTTCGTTGATCGCGACCCCGCGTATCGTTAACATTCGGACCGCGAACCGGTACCTAACCTTAACCGCGTTTACGTTAAAAAGCGCATAAAAATACCGAACACGATTGCGGAGCGTTTGTTCGTCGAACACAAAACGTCGCGGTAATGTCTAATACTCGTGTATGGAGACGGACGACGGCGTTGCGTTTTCTAATGCGCATAAAAAAAAAACGCGACAAAACAAAATAATATGTTTGGCGATTTTCCTCGCGACCGGTTCTCGTTTTTGGCGAGAACGTCGACGATTTTTGGCTCGTTAAAGTGCATACAAATAATAACAATCGTAATTTTCGCTGTAGATGTTCCGCCGATTCGGTATTATTGTTATTATTATTATCGATCGCCGTCGTCGTCGCTATTGATATTTTTCAAATTTGCATTCGCCGACACGCGCGCGTAATACGGACGGAATAATCGATCGGAACTCGAGCGCGGATAGGGACGGCACTCGTAACGAACAAGCCGAAACGAATGGTGGGAGGGGGAGGGGGGGGGGGGGGGGGTAAAACCCGAAACTTTCTCCGCGAGAAAAAAATACGCGCGACGCGTAATATACGCACTGTCGATACGGGCCACGGCCGCGGGGGTTTTCGTCTTGCGGGCACGTAACCCGAAACGCGCCAATAACGTCGCTATCGCGCGCTCGCGTATCGCGCGCGGGTGCGCCGGGAGCGAATGACGCGTGACGGCAAACGCGGATCCGAAAACCGGCGGATGATGACGCGGAAACGGTAATTATTATTGTCATCGCCGACCCGGCGGGATGTTCGGATTAACGTAATATTATTCGTACGGATACGGCGCGGGGTGGAAAAACGCCCGTCCGCACGGCCCGCGCGGGCCGCGTCAACCGACGACGACGATAATCGGTGGCGCCGGACACCTGCCGGGACGCGCGGATGATCGAGACGCTTTCCCCGAGACCGTGCGAGGGACGGGCGCGGGGGAGTCGGTATTCGATCCGCCCTTTGCGGACGGGAAAACGTTTACAGGATTAACGCGGTTGGAAGTGCAAAGGAAATTCAGTGTTTTCGAAAAACGTCTCGTTTGTTTGGTTTGTTTTTTTCGAAATTTTTTTTCGTCGAAACCACTTTCTTCGTACGGTTATTTACAATGCGACCGTTACTTAATATTATAACCCGGGCGCGATTCCGTCTCACTCCGATCATTGTTATGCGCTGACCATCTACGCTGCCCGAATCGGATATTCCGCTCCGACGAAGTCGGTGTTCCAACACTGTGCACACCCGAAACGGTCGACAGATACCACGACGACGGGCCCTAATAGATAAAGCAGAGGTAGAAAAGAAAAAGCCGGGAAAAAACGGGCCTCGAGAATCGGCAATGGGATTCTAAGTGAGTGTAACACCGATCGGGTTTTCGTTGTCGTGCGGATTGTTATCTTCCGGAAGAGTATGTTCGAGTATCCGGTCCGACGTAAAGACCGTCTCGGGGACGGCACGTCGCGTAACGAATAGATTTTTCTCCTGCGCATATATTAAATTTCGTATTTTACGAAAATTTGTTGCGAGTTTTCACTAATGTGTTGTAAATAATACGTATATCGTGCGGTTGTATATATTATAATTTATAGCGTCGAATTAGTATAAAATCGTAATTCGCGACCCACAGGATTTTATACAGAATTCAAAAATTAATAAATACGATGCTAATGGCTAATGTATAATACAGACATTGTAATAAATATAAATGAATGTTTAGCGGGAAAATTGGACGCCGCTTTTAACTACACGCGCATCTATAGCTATAATGAATATGCTGCAATGGCTTGAATATGGTTTAGGGGGTTTGAACCTTCCCCGGAGCAACGACGGAAAAAAATAAAACCTCGATTAAAAATATATATATATATATATAGAAAGCGAACAGAAAGAATATAAAACTATACTTAAAATACATAAATAACAATGACGTTGTTACAGTTTTTAATTTTGTAATTTTACGAAATATAACATACTTCTAAAAACACGAACGTCAATATGAGGATTATTAAAAAAAAAAAAAAAAAAACCCGTATCTATCTGATAAGCCGCTGATTGTGACCGTTACATCTTTGGTCTCCACAGAAGAAGGGCTTAAGTCCATTGTTGGCAAATTTTTTTTAAAATTATTTTATTTTATGCATTTTTATGCCCTTGTTTGTCTGAATGGTGTATGTGTTCTAACATTTATTTCGCTTGGATTGAAAACTATACAAATCGGCTTTAGCCTTTCTTCCTGGCACCGAAAATACCATACTGATTAAATTTCTCGAAATAATCTTTTGAACTAGTTAACTGACTTTACTGCACTAAACAGAATAATTTATTTGATCATGAATCAGCAATTATCTCGGAGGATTTTAAGTGAATTTAATTTCTTGTTTTTTTTTTTTTTTCAAAATTATTGTGGAATCGTTTAGGCTCTATTTTAAAACCATTTTGAATTTTTATCCCTACTCCGTGTACTTTAAATAAGTATATACATTTGTTTTTTTTTCAAATAGGAACCCCCTCTTTCGAACACAAACTCGAATAGAGAATATTTTTTTGGAAATTTTGTATAACTGACTTCATTTGGAGAGTCGTAAGGGTGTATAAAGTTTTCTTAAAAAAAAAAAAACGCTTTCCTTCCGCAATAACACGGTGAAACTCAACCAAAATTGAATTTCTTCAATCCGCCTACCAACAACTCGAATCGCCGGGTTTGAGATCATATCATGGTCCAGAGGGAGCCACCGAAAGTGTCCAAAAGTACCGAAAAAAAAAAATAAATAAATAAATACATGTACGTGTATAACAGACATCATTACTGTATAACAGTCTCTATTTTCGGAGGAAATTCGACAATAACCCCGGGCCACAGACGATAATATTATCTATTAGACCCGTGTTTCTATTCTATTCTATTTTATTTGTTTGCAAATGTCTTATTTTTTTTTTTTCCACGCGTCCGCCGCCGACATATCCATCGATCTGTATCCGTCTCGTGCACGTGCAATAAATTTTTATATTACAATTATGACCGCATTGTCGTGCTTATGCGCTTCGATCGTCGCAGCCGGTGCACGGCGGCGGTCGCGCGGTCCGTGATCCGAGAAAGTTTAATCGGGGAAATCGTTTCGGTCGATTGATAATTATCAGCGTTAGCCGTACACGGTGAGTAGGTAAGTATGTAAATTGATAGGTAAGTAAGCAACGCCGACTGTAGAACAAAGTATTATTTATAATAATCAATAACAATGGTCGGTAGGTGGCGTGATCACCGAGAAGACGGGTTATCCGGGTTTTAGGTCGGGCGAATTATTCAATTTTTTTCACACGGCACCTCGAAAGACGCGCATCTCCTGCCCCGTGGTACTGTACTTGAAAAATTGATCGACATTCTCATCATTTCACCCGCTAAAAGAAGGACCTTTAGGAATATAGATGGGTTTTTTTTGTAGATTCATAGATTACTTTGGCAAAATTTAGGCGCATCATGACTCATACAACTCCATTCATAATCGTTTGTCCGCCAGCAATAATTTATCGTCGCGTACAGTGTACATGCTAAATTGCTCTGTAAACGTTAACTTTTTATTACCCGCTATTACCGACTTACAGCGGCCGGTGACCTATGCACCCGTGGCAGTATTGACTTTTTTAACAACGGTAATAATACTGATACATCAGTCATCGCAATATTAAAGTAAATGATAAGGCGTTGCGCCTCAAAATTAAATGGTCGCTGTGCGGTTCCAACCAAAAGCGTTCGTGTGTTTAAGCTAGACGTGTAAGCCCTTTTACCGGGCGAATTTTACCGATGTCTTTTACCGTACTTCTACCGACCCCCTTTCTCCCCTCGTTTAACGGTTTTACAAGTTTGTTGACATTTATTTCGATACTTTTGTAACTTACGTACACGGCAATAAGTGAATTTCGTGAAAATTTGATTTTCGTCATCATAATTGTTTACGATCAAACTTAGCTTAAAATGTTAGTGAGTTTTTATTTCCGTTATTTTTTTGGTAGTTGCAATATGTTTCTAACGTATTAAAATCTGAAACTTTCTTACTATTATCGGTTGCAGTCTACAAATAGTATTTTGTTGTTTATTATGTAGTTTTTTTTGTGTTTTTTTTTTTTTTTTTTTTTTGAAAGGCAAGACATTAATCAACCTATTTTATTAAAAAACCCATAAAATTCTCCACGATCATTAATTTGTATTTTATACTCGTATCAATACAATGTACTATATTGTATTTATTATATCGTCCGTTTATTTTACGTACAATAAAAACCTAACCCGAATTTATTTAATTTTACCCGCAAATTTAATGGCTTTTTTTTTACCGGTAAATTCCGCGGTTATAGAATATATTATTGCAGTTAGAAAACTAGTTTTTATTGTAATCTAAAATATAACGTCCGCATGATATTGACACGTTATTTTTGTTTTTTTTTTTTTTTTTCGTTCAACGGGTCCGGGAAAAGCAAACACAACAACTGTACGCCATAATACGTAAGAATAATATACGCATAACATTATACAGAAACGCGGTTAAAAATTTCGAATACGATATTTTAATCGTATACGGGCAATTAATGAATATTTATTATTATTATAATGGCCGCGTTTTATGTTGTTTATTATTTTTTTTTTCCCCCTAACTCCCGTGGGATTTCTCGAATCTCTCGGGTTGACGGCCGGAGGCTGACGGATCCGCGGCGCACCGCGGACCGTCGACGATCCGCAATTGGAAACGGTCGGCGGGCATGCCTGATCATCATAATGATGTTTATAATTATCCGACCGGGCGCGATAAAATTGCTTTCGGTTCCCGCGATAGTGTCGGTTTTTTAGTACATCCGCACGACCGTGTTAGCGTTACGTTACGGGCGGCGGCGGCGGCGGCGGCGGCGGCGGTCCGGTCCGGTCCGAGGAACCAGTTCGCGGCCGCGGTCGCCGTCGCCGCGCGACTTCCGCGCCGGAACGGCTATCGTTTCCGAACCACCGTCCGCGACGCGCGACACAAACGGCTAAGTGGACGAGTTCGCGACGGTTGTCAAGCAGCGCGCGTCGTGTGCGTGTGTCCTTAAAATATTATTGTCTACGCGGAGCCGCCGGTAATTTCGCGCGTAATTAAAAGCGAAAGAAGAAGAAGAAAAAAAAAACTAACAAAACCTATTTCGAAACTCGTCTCGTGTGTTTTTTTTTTCCGTCGGCCGTCGGCGATAATAATAACGCGCGTTACAGTCATTTGCCTCGCGAAAAAACAAACACAATAATAATAATAATAATAATAAAAAATACTCGTTACTATTTGTATAATAATATTATATATTATATAGTGTATTACAGTACCATTACGTATACAAGACGACCGCACACGTGTCGTTTTCTTCGACGACGTTGGTTGTTTTATTTTTTTTTTATTTTTCACAATCGATTAATCATTTTTTTTTTTTTTTTACTACAAAAATCCACATACGTGTTGATAATTATATGTATATGCATACATAATAATATAATACGTATTGTGCTGTATCTATCGGACGATTCGTATAATGCTACGACTGCCGTATATACCGGGTGATCAATCCTCCACACAAAACTCATTATCTCGGAGTGTAAAACTTTTTAATCGGATTTTTTTTTCTAAACAGTTTAAGAGCACCCTATACCTGCACGTGTTGTCCAAGTCAAAGGCGACGTAGCAAAAGCTACCTTACGCACCCTGCGTAAAACTCGCTTGATTTTGGTTTTAGAGTGAAAAAAAAAGCATATTTTCAAATTAAAAGAGAACGGTATTCCGGAGGTATAAACGATGCGTTGCTTTTTTTTTTTAGTTAAATTTTTAATATGTTACAGCAATTCAAAAACGATAATGTACGTTTTATTCTTAAACGATGTATTGAACGTTATAACCGGAATAACAATTAAAATAATAGGAAAACGCATCGTTTTTCTCCCCAGAATATTATCCTCTTTTAATTTTATAATAGTTGCTCTTAATCTAAAACTAAAATTAAGCCCGTTCTACGCAGACAGCTTAGGGTCGATTTGTCTATTGCCCGTTAGTTGGAGTGAAACAGCATATGCGAGTACAGCGTCCTCTTAAGAAGCGAGCGCCTTTAAAATTTTAATACCGAAATGCATTTTACCTAAAACGACATCTATGTGAAATTTTTAAAATCAAATGAGGGTTATGGCTTCACCCCGAGGCCATGTTAAATGGCGGGGGGAGGGCAACAGCCCTAAAAAGCGCCGGATGCGCCGTTTTTTATGGACGCATATCAAGTCAAGGTTCTAAACATGACACGGTTGCTCTGGGGCGTCACTGATTGTTATCACAATACTGTTTCACCGACCCGCAAAAATAATGGCGACCAAAACTAACGGCGATGTAATATTCATTTTAGAGCTACTTGTTTCATAAGTTGTCCGAAAATAGAAATAAACAAATTGCGAAAAAGTTAATATTCCCGGAGATAAGACACACGTCACTCATGTCTTATCGATAATTGATCACTTTGTGTACCTATTTACACAAAGTATGCACACAAAAAAAAAAAATGGCGTAATCATTATTTGCACCGAGCACGGAACAATTCATTGTTATTTACTTCTCGCCGTGTTTACGTCGCCGCCGTGAATAAATAACGGAGTTCGGTTTTTATTTTTTTTTTCGTGCGCCTTGGAAATCCACCAATTCACCTATATATATATATATATAAACATGCATAATGTCTGCCGTCGAAAACGTTAATTTGCAAATGCGCAACCTTTCCATGTTATTAACTTAAAACTGAAAAAATAACGAGTTACGAAACACACACACACACACACACACACGTATTATGTGGAAAAAAACGATAGAGTCTCAAAAACTATATAATTTTAATAAAACATTTTACATTAAAATGTTGTGAAAAAAAAAATGAATTGTTACGAATGGGTATATTTTAACACGTGTTAAACTCGATGAATAATATTATTATTATTATTATTGTAATTCAGAACCGTGAAATAATGTAAAATGCAAAAAAAAAAAAAAAATTAAAAAATTGAAAAAAAAAACTAGACACAAGTTTTGATTAGTTGAATTCACAAACGTTGTGTTTTGAAGTAAGCTGAAAATAACGCGTTACCCTGCAAAAATGTACAGCTGAAAAAACCGTAAAAAACCCAAATGTTTTACACGCATCCCCGTGGGCCCGTATCGGACTGTAAACAAAACAATAAATAAACGATAATTAACCCGTCCGTATTGTTTTAAGTAACATTTGTTTTCAGTCTTTCAACAACTTAATCGCCGTAAGCGTCAAATGTCGGTCGCACTTACTTTTGACCAAAACACGCCACTGGACTTTTGTTGTTAATTACTATTATACTGCGACGATTTCGTGGGGAAGACTAGCCAAATCATAAATATTGTAGGGCGCGAGTAAAAATACTCACTCCGTTGGTACGAATACTGAAATGGAGTGCATCGAATCCGACGAATAATATCGGTAAACAATGGGCGCCGCCTATACGACTCACGGATATAAGGTTCAGTCGCCTATTATACACGAAATCACTCGGAACGGTCCGCACCTTTCCGAATACATTCTGTCCTTTCTCTACTTCGTCTATATTTTTCAACCGGTTATAAGACTCGCTTTGGGAACCAGTACGAAGTGAGTCTTATAAGCGACGTCCACTGCACAGGATTCACTATTGGATCTCATTACCCTTCTATTCTTTTTTTAATTTTTCGATTTTGTTAAGGACCCGTATTGGGTCTCGTGGGACAATAAATAAAGTATGACCAAATAAAAAAAACCCTCGGCGCTTTTATTGCACGTCAGTGGGCCTCACCCCTCGCGTTCGCCGCTGGTCTATACAATGTTAAAACACTATCTGTAGAAAAAAAACTCTCCACCAAATACCTTCTGTAACTATATCACTGTTATTTGTATATATATATATTTTTTTTTTTTTTACTATTAATATTATTATTACTTAGTTATATTTCACAGATATATTGATTCTTCGGTAAAAATAAAACGGTCGGCAAGGAAAATAATTCCTCGGACCCCTTTGAGGGTAAAGTGCACGTGCGCCGTCTGCGCTTGCGTTAATCTACACACGGTTGTCAAAGGGGAAGACATTATTTATGCACAATTATTATGTTATTTAAACTATACATAATTTCGTGACATAATTAAAACCTAATCAATTTAAATATGAACTCAAGCAAGTCAATATTGAAAAATGGATATGGTACCCTAAGTTATTTATTAGAAACAAAAAAAAAAAACTTCCATTCAAAAACCAAAATCGATTAAAGAAATTCAGTTTAACAAGTAGCCCCGTTTCCGAACCTCCATTCCTATCGCAGTTAACCGTTCGTCGGTGACTTGTCGCATTTCTTCGCCCGCGAAAACTTTAAATTAACTAATAAAAACTGATTTTTTTTTTTCAATTTCATCCGTGTCACCGACAAATCAACGGAAAAAAAAAAAAAACAAAACAAAACGAATTCAATTACGCACGACGACCGAAAACATCACGTGTGCCGCCCCTTTGGGGGTTGAATAATTTCGGAAACACGGCTCCGAGGCGCGCACACGGACCTGTCCATTCGTGACCGTACGTGTTCGTTTTCCTGATCCCCGCGTCCGGTAGCTTATCGGCGAGTCCTGCGCCGCGAAATTATTGTGCCGTGTCGAAACCGGATAACGGTACGCCGTTTGATCCGCCGGCGTTTCGCGCGTAGGTACGTATATATTTATCGATATTATCGTCGTCGAAAACGATTTTCCGCTTCGGTTGTTGAAACTGAAAACATCAGGCGCGTACAACGTCGTATTATTATTGGTTTCGCTGATAACGATATTTTCTCTTCCGATAAAAGAAAAGAAAAAAAAAACAACAATTATTTTCTTATAAAACTATAACGTATATAGAAATACAAAATAAACAATATAACATATATATAAAAAAAAAAAAATTAACGTCGGCCGATTAATTGGGAATATTTTTGTGTTTTTTTTTTTTTTTCTGCCGTTTCACAAGAGTGCCATGATTCCTAACTCACTGACGCGGCGGCGTTCGACTGTCGTTATTTTCGTCGTGAAACACAAGTCGTGTCTGGTCGTCGATCACGTGTTTCCGCGCGTACCTACAATATAACAATGTACACCTTTTCTCGTTACTCGTTATTGCCGTTTCGCATAAGTGTACACGCGCGCAAATCGGTTCACCCCCCCCCCTCACACGCGTACACGATCGAATCGTTTTCCGGTCAGCCGCGACGGCCGCGCGATTCGAAACGAATCCGCGTCGTATTGCCGGTAAAATCACGTGGTACCTATGCGTGTGGCGCGGCGGCGCCCGTACCGATATTTCTAGTGTAGCAGCCGCCGCGCGCGCCATATTCCCGGGCGGGCGGCGTGTTCCCGACAATCGGGATTTCGGATAGCCGGATACGGACACGTACAGTGCAATGAACGGTTGCCGGGCTCGGAACGCGCGCACGTTTTTCGAGGCGGGCGACGGTTTCGGACACTTGAAATCCCGCTGGACCGTAGAATGAACACGGTTTGAACGCCGGTGTCCGAACGTGCGCGATACCCGGACGTCCGTCGTCACCGCGTTCGTCTCGGCTGCGCGGCGGAACGGGGAACGTTCGCGCCGGCTTCCGTCCGCGGTCGACCGACAGCGGATACAATGAGTGGGCCAGAATCGAAACTCGCGCGTTCCAAAACAGCGGAGAAACGAGTCGACGACGTCTGTTGTTTTACGGGATTTCCGGAGGAGAATTCGGTTGTGCGTAACTAGCGAACCTAGTGGCGGTCCGCGTCGGAAAGCTAACAAGTTCCGTGTGAATTTCAACAACCGAACCCTATGGGTCACGTGCGTCGACGTGAGGCTTTGCTGCCCTTCTCGCCGACTTAATATTGCCGACAATCGTTAATAATACAAATATAAATAAACAAATACGAAAGATCGCAGCGTAAGTAACACATTGGAAATATTCAGGTTTTAAAGTGCAACTGTAAACGCCTTTTTTCCCTCGGTGTAAACCTCTGGAATATCATTTGGATTGACATCGACAGACACGTCCCTTTCTACGCATTGATTATGACGGACGGAGAAAAAAACCGGCCTCGATTCACTGTTGATCGTAAGCATTTACATTCTTCTCGTTGTTGCAGAGGAAACTGGTTAGACGATAAATGCAAATTCTAAATAAATTATCGAAACGATATTATAAACGTAAACGTATTTTTAAAATTCAGTTGAATTCTAATTTTCGGGGCGCTAAGCCCTCCGGTCCCCTCTAAACACGCCTATGATCGTGTGAGTTTCGAACGGGTATTCAACCCGTATCGTAAATCACATGATTCGTAATATGGAAATTCTCACGTTCCGTTTCAGCGATAGATTATCGGAACTCGCACGTTACAAACTCCATCGACCTTAAAAAAAAAAAAAAAAAAAAAATTGTAGATAACTACTAAAATCGTAGATTACGATGGCGTTTTTTTAATTACTCAGCATAATAATATTAATCGCGTAAGAAAAACGCATTCCGGGTTTCCTTTATGTAAAAAATTGGACGTTGAAACATCGGAGTTTCGATTTCTGCCTAGGTACTCGTATTTTTTTTATAATTTCGTTAGAAATAATAATATAATGACATACGTTTTTAGATTCCGCGAGTGACTCGTACAAGGTTTTTGGGTTTTTCGCGAAAAAAAAACCCCACTGCTGTAATAGCGACAAGTATGAAAAGGCACTACACGCAAATTTTCCGCCCGGATGTACCCAGGTATACAATTTATTGTTGTAGGCGCGCGCACTTTCTGTACGAAACACTCGTCCGGATTTTTCTCGACGTTTCTGGAAAAAATAAAAATACCGACACGGCGAAACGGCCAGGTATCGTGCATATTAAATCTGTTTCAATTCCGGGCGTAGTGAAGAACCTATAGATATCAGTTTTACTAAGACGCGATTTATTTCCCCGGGGAAAAGATTAGTCCGTTACCTTAAACGATACGGATTTCACGCCCGCTGGTATTCCGTTTGAGACATTTTTCTTATTAAATTCTCAACGGTTTTTTCCTTAGAATGATGAAATGAAAAACCGACGACAAATGATGATGCACATCGGTTTCGTTCTCGTTGATTTCCGGGTTATATACATTATACCCATTCGACCGGCGGGGAAAAAATACGACGATCCATTACCATATCGTATGGACTCCGTACAGGATCGTTTTTTTTTTTTTTTTTTTTTTTTAATGATACCCCGCGAATCGTCGTCACTTATCTGCAGATAACACACACTTATTGTTATTATTTGTATGTTTTTTTTTCACGGCAAGAACCGTCGCCCAATATTGCGCCGCGGTAATCACGCGCACGGCGCGACCCTATTCTATTTGCGTCGTCACGATTAATAAAAAAATAAATATTCCGAACCGATCGTCCGCGTCGCGCACACTCGTCGACCGCCGCAGTAAAATGTGCCAAGACGCGCGCATACTTCCCGAGGCATTCCGTCCGCGAACGGCTGCCCTTACACCGCCCGTTTCGGTTTTTTGATACAAATCCAAAAAAGGCGAATTTTAACATATTGTCACCGTAGCCTATACACGCGACGCGCCGTGCGATTGTTATTTTCGGTGCCCGCGCATTCCACGGACGAACACGCGCGATCGTGGCACGCCCGAAGTCCTTCGGCACGAACAATAAAAACGAGATTAAAAAAAAAAAAAATCTTATCATTGATTTAAATACAATTTTCGGAAGTATACGTAAATTGTCACTTTCGCGTTGTCTGATCGCGCGGGAGCGTCCCCAGACACGGTTTTCCTACGGTCGCGAATTATTGCATTCACTTTCATTACGTATTTGAATTTTACCTAATCAATGAATATTTTTTTAAATTTAACTTAACATATTATAATTTAAAGTTAAAATTAGGTTAATATGGTATATTTAAACTTAATTTTGAATTTAATTGAAAAATAAATTATTTAACTGAGTTATAAACTATCATTACCTAGCCTTGGGGCTCATTGTAATAATGTTCAAAATTGAGCCGTTTTTTTTTTTTTTGCAAGGGGAATATTCACTGCACGTATTCGCATTTCCGTTATTTAAAACGAATTCCTATAATAGAAAAAGGTGTGAAGAAAGACCGTAGATTGTGCAGAATGCGGGAAAACGACAGGTTTACGGCGGCATCAATACTGCTGTGGATGAAGCTGTGAAAAAATAATAAAAATCTGTAGGAGACTCGAGTGCCAGGATTTAATTTAAATTGAATTTTATAAAAATCATATTGTGTATAAAAATCAAAAATATCGATAACATATTGATAACACCGATTGATAATTCAATTCAATTATAAATCAGTGAATCGAACGAAACAGAAAACGATTCGTATGATTCCAGGTTGTTCAAACGAGTGCGCTGTGAACCTGTGCTTATTTTTTATGGATGTTATATATTTCACTATTATAATATGCCTGCATTTACTCGTGTGCAGCAGGGCACACAATACCTCCCTAAAAAAATACACTGTTCAAAATTACGTCTTTCATGTATTAAAAAAATAATAATAATGTTTACTCCGGTTATTGTTGTATATTACCGTTAAAAAAAAAAAAAAAAAAAAAAAAAAAAAAAT